AGGAAGTTAGGAGGAGATTAAATTCTGGAAATGCTTGCTACTTCTCAGTTCAAAATATTTTGTCTTCCCGTCTGATTTCTAAGAACCTGAAAATTAAAGTGTACAAAACAATAATCTTGCCTGTTGTTTTGTAGGGGTGCGAAACATGGTCTCTCACTCAGAGGTAGGAACACAGATTGCAGGTGTTTGAGAACAGGGTGTTGAGGAGGATATTTGGGCCTAAGATAGAAGACGATTGGGGAATGGAGAAAACTGCATAATGATGAGCTTAAAAATGTATACTCCTTCCCCGGTAATGTCAGGGTGATTAAGTCAAGAAGAATGAGATGGGCTGGGCATGTAGCGCGCATGGATGGGACAAGAGGTGTGCACCGGGTACTGGTTGGGAAGCCTGAGGGGAAGAGACCACTGGGGAGACCTAGACGTAGATGGGAGGATAATCTCAGGCGGGATCTATGGGAGATGGGAGTTGAAGGAGACTGGATTTTGTTGGCCCAGGACAGGGTCCGGTGTAGGGCTTTGGTTAGTTCGATGATGAACCTTCGGGTTTGGTAAGCAATCTAGTTAGTTTGTTAGTATATGACAGAGGCAGTATGACCCCTGAAACGTTGGTGGACATCTACCAGACTACATGGCGCAACAACCCAGAAGACAGCAATCTTCAGACTCACCGCTGTGAAAACCTCAGATCTCACACAGTAACAGGACTGTTAACAGATTCTGAATTACTAACAGAAAACAGACGAATGGACTAGAAACAACATTATATGCATAAAAGAACTTTAAATGTTGAACCAACTTTTCATTCTGGAATGTTAATGTGTTACATAGATTGATGTACAAACATTTAAAGCATCACATGGCCACAAGAACATGGACCCACATAATATGAATTCACACAATAAAATTCATATTGTGGCTACCATGTGCACACCAAGGAGAGTAAGAGGCTTTTTAATTACTGCAACATAAACAAGAAATCATCTACTGCTACTGCTATACTAACTGTAACACAAGTGATAAAAGTCACCATTTTACATACTGTACGTAAGTTTGTATAAGCATGTTTCAGTCCATTTTAACTTTCATCTGCCATTCATCATGTACAGTCCAGTTGGCCATGCATTCACTACCATACTAGCATACCGCTAAACTGGTAACCATAAGCTAGACTGTGGCAACTGAGCCTGTAATATGGGGGCTTAAATCCTGATCTCACATAGCAAAGGTTAATGCTGACAAATTGAAGAAGGGAAGTAATTTATACTATAAATGGGTAATGTACATATTTTTTGCTCACATTTTTCATAAATTAGATTGCATTGAAAGAATGAAATTACTTATTTCTTGTATAACACATCTTTACACTATATGCATATTAAATTAGTCTTCTGCATACAACTTCAAAAACAATTTAAACAAAATCAGAGCACTTAACCTTTTATGTGTCACATAAAATAAATTGGACAACAAGAAGCAAATAGTGAATTATTCTTGTACCCATTCTTTGTCTGTTTCTCTTGGAATAAATTTATAAGTTTATTTCTTGTATCATTAACCAACTAGATGTCTTATGGAACCCGAAGGTTCAACACTGAATTAACCAAAGCCCTCCACCAGACCATCTCTTGTATACAATTTATTTACTGCTTCTGTATATTAGACTAATATTCTATGTATGTCAGGGAACATGGCAGTTAGTGTACTGTAAAACATGAATACTGAATTATACAAGTAAATACATTCATGGTCTAGAAGTGAAAGAATGTGAAATCACACATACTGTTTTTTCCATCATGGTACCACCTAGTGAATAACCTTGCAATACAAAATAATTTACTTTATGTATTAAATTACCTAATATTAAAACAGTTGTGGCTGCATGTTGCTTTATGCATTATATAGCTTCTTCAGAGGGTGGATGAGCAGGTGGAGGTTCAGGGCACCCTCATGCCCTTGGGGTGAGAAATCACCCCTAAAGGCGGATGAGCCGGATGGGTCAATGGCATAGGATTCGGAAGGCAAGGGGAATCCACCGCATTAAAGATCCTCAGGATTTCCAAAGTATCAACAGCTGAAGCTGCTGCCAACCAATCCTAGGACTGATTGCAAAGAAGAAGACTACTTATAGAGTCTCCGTTAACCAGAACAGACAGATACAATGGACGGAAGGTAATTAGCCGAAAAGAGACAAATCTTAAAAAAATATTTATATATTACTGACGGTACCCTCATTTATTAACCTCAATGCACTGGCAAAAATTACTTACCGACATATACATAAAATGATGACATATCATTTCCTTGCATATGCAGACCTGTCATGGAGTAGGCTGGGACCAAGTACGCAAGCCAAACACAGACAGAGGCTGGGAGATTGTATAGCACCTGCACAAAGATAAACTTTTTATGCATTCACAATAAAACTGATTTATTTTGTTCTAGTGATGACATTTTGGAAGACACTTAACCTTTTGTTGAAATTGTCCTTCCGATTTCAAGGCAAGTTCACCCAAAATATTGGACGTTTCTGCCAAAACAACACATTAACACAACCCTTGTAGCTCAACAAATGATGAAGTATCTCATGTACAAATATCCAAATAATACAGCAGTTATATTTGTATCCTATAAAAGTGCAACAAGTTTCACTACACTTACTATAAAGTTAAGTAATGTCTTGTTCATAAAGTCCTAGATTATCAGGTCATGGTTAATGGAGACAAATATTCTCTTATTCCCACTGGCTCAATATATTCGAGATTGAAATTTGCAGCACTGTGGGCTACAACACATTCACTGATATTTAGTACTCATAATATTACATTCTGACTCTGAGCATGTTCAATTTTTTCTGTGCATCTGCAGTTTGAGGTTAATTTCAGAAAACACCAATCTTTAGTTACTTCTTCTGCCTTGCACGCCACATCATTACTTAAAAATGTCAAAGAAACAATTAATTGGAAAACATCTGAAAAATGTCAGGCTTATCATCTAGCATAATATTCCTACTAAGAATCTGGACCCTTCTTGTGTCGACTACAAAATGAAACATAATTTATAACCACCAAGTTATTTTTTAATAAACCAGCTACACTAAACACATTGCCAATTTATTTTGGTATAATGCAACGAGTTTTGTGCTTTGAGAACTGAAGTTCCTTCTTTCACACTTTTATCTGTCCAAGTCATACCAACAGAGGCAATTTATCTTCTATTAAACTAAAAAAGTGTACAAATTAATAACTATTATGGCAGAAATCAGGCTCTCAGCTATTAAAACCCAGGACCTAGCATTTCCTATTTATCTCCATAGAATATTCTGAAGCACTATTAAGTTTTAACTGAATAGTGGTCACATTTTTAATTTATAAATATTTTTCTTCCTTCATTTATGTGGATAATGCAACTGTTACTTCTTTTTCAAGTTACTCTGTAACTTAGTGGCAACTGATTTCTCAGATTCAATTTGTGTTTGAGTGACATTAACACTATTGTACAATTTACAATTTACAATGATTGAATGAAGAATAAAATGAACAGGTCATGTAGTGTGCATGGGGGAGACGAGAAATATGTACAAAATTATGTTTAGAAAACCTGAAAGAAAGAGTTCTGGATTCATCTGCCTCAGGATTGGGACCAGTGGTAGGATTTGTAAACATGGTAATAAACCTTTGGCTTTCATAAAATGTGCAGAATTTATTGACAAGCCAAGCATAATATTTTCCTCCGAAGAAGAACTCTGCTCCATGACATTAGTGAAACTCAAGCTAATCTACTACTTCGGAGAAGGACTTCTATGTCTTTTATGATATTTCTAAAAAATGCTTTTACCTTTGTGAATATGTAGACCATTCTATAGTACAACCGGTCCCTTATATCTCGATGTACAGACCACCTCTCCCTTCCAACTTCCCCCAAGGCCAGCAGAAGAATAGGCCAAGGGGCTAACGTAGCCATTACATAATGAAAACCGGGCCGATCACTGTAGATTAGCTGAGGATCAGAGCCAGGAACATCCCACCAGATAGCACCAATGATAAGTGACATGAGGGCAGCTAACAGGAGTTGATTGAGCCAGTGGACTAAGCTAATTGGCTGAGTTAAGATTAATGCTCGCCTGGATAACAGACAAAACACTATATTAATAAGGTAGGGGTGTACACAGAAATTTATGAAATTACAAGTTCACACATTTACTTCTTGGTCAGACACTCATGTAAGTGTTAATAATTTTAACAGGACACATTTAATTTCAGGTATATACATTTCATCAGAACTTCAGATATAGTTATAAGTGATATATCAATATTTCGGACATAAATGTTATGTGAAACGTTTAGGTATACAATATACATTAGAACAAGTAAAATATGTGAAGACAAAAACTTGGATTTTTACTTTGAGATGAGATTTGAAACTGCTAGATTATTTAACAATGCTTCATCAACTGCATTGGCATAAAGCAGTGAACATTAGAATGACTGTGAATGATGAATTAAGCAATCACAGGCTAGTTTAAGATATGATGCTTGAGCAACTAAGGAAAACTGCAAAAACCTCAGTAAAGACAGATGGTTTCAAGACCAAGACTTGAACCAAGGCCTTTTGCAATAAGAAACAACAAGGTTAACCACAATACTCAATGATCTGGACACTGTAAATGGGTATAAAAGAAGAGCATACCAATGTCAGAATGACTAAATTTGTGAAGCTACATAATAAAATATAGTTTTCAGGATACACTGTAGCATCACATACATACTTTTGTCTCAGTGTAACAACTTTTGAACCAAATAACAAATTTCCATTAAACTTGGTGTGAACATCATGACAATGGAGGCCATTCAATATTTGTATTTTATAATTTCCTAACATCAATAATGCCTACATGATGGTTATGATAACCTGCGAGATAAGGGAAACAGTAGTGCCACTACTAATGCATTAATGTCAGATCCTAATATTGCAGATAGACCCTTGAAAAAACGTAAATTTTTGTTAAGTAAATTTATTTGTAAAATATAAAATAACAATCATGATTTCTGCAAGAAAACTATAGTTTCTATCCACTGATGATGATTATGAACTACTGCATATTAGCATCTGACAGTTTGTGTGGAAACAGATAGAAAAAAAAATTAAGTTAATAAGTGACAATGTGTACCTTTGAGAATATGCTATATCAGGCATATTTAAGAAAATCAGGATCTGTAATAGAGGCAATTACATATATATACATACATACACACACACACATATATATATATATATATATATATATAAGTAAAGTAAAGTTTGTCCCACTATACGCCATGTAGGCGTTTGGGGTGAGAGGAGGTATAGCTCCTCTCTTCCTTGACCTCGGCACTAGATGGGGGTGAGTGGTCAGCATCACGCCTCGGCCGGCTTTACCCCTGGGAAAGGACCCGGGTACCCATTGTAGAGGAGGCTGGGTGGGCCCCAGAGCCGGTCTGGACGCAGAGGCTAGAGAATTACTAAATTCCATAGTTATTATGCAGTCTTTGAATGAAGTGCACAGCAAGAAAGCATTTGGGGACAGTTGTATTTGTCCATACGTCTGTCCAGTCAATTCGACTGGAGAACCACTAAGATGGATTAGGAAGAAATTTGATGTAGAAGTTGTGCCATTGTGCACAACCTAAAAATTGTGCTTTTGAATATCCTATAAGCAGTGATAACAAGAAGGCAAATTTAATACCTCTAGATGCACACTGCAAACAACACATAGTTCTTGCTTGCCTTATCATACAGATTAAAGCATTTGAAGAAAAAGTAGAACTTCTTGTACTTAACTAATCTTCTAAACAGCCCACATTCTTTCTCAAACTAAAATAATAAGAAATGTATATTGTCATGAGCAATAAAACTTGGTTTCACTATCGTTGACTGTAGAAATAGCAGCAGATAACGAAATTTTAGAGGAACATATCATAAGCAAACACAAAGATGACAGCTTACCACACAACATTATTGGTACCTCCTTTAGTGGTGGAGATTCTCGTGGTAATGTCAGATCTTGTGGAAGACAAAATAAAGAGACTAACTATGCCCCTACAGTGGTGAAAACTCTTTGGCATTAAATTCTTTAAAATGTTTTTTATTGTATACATTGTACTTACATAATTAGAACAAAACACTGTGTGACGCAGTTTGCTTGTCTGAGTTTTGGTGGCAATGCGATAGGTGGTCCAGGTTCAGCCAACGGTTCCTGAACTTGGTTAAATGTTTCAGCAAGCTGCTCTATTCTCTGACTTGATTCAAGCATTGCTTCAGCTGAAAGGTCGTCCAACGTAACTAGATCCACTGGTCAGGAAGAAAAACAAGCAATTGCTTTCACACAGTGTAACATAAAAAGGATATAAAATTATATACTGCATCTATCAAAAGACATTCTTCTTCTTTATTACACCGCCTCCTTACAGGAGGTTGGCGACATTATGAACAGGATCCCTCCATCCTTTTCTCAGACTGGGACCTGTTAATATGTTTTTTTAGGCAGGTGATCCAGAAGTGGTTTGCCATTGCCTTCTTCTGTGTGTATGGAGTAATGTTGAGATGCCACGGAGAAACCGGGGAAGCCCTGGAGGAAAACTCCGTGTTGCCTAGACCACGGCCTTGCCCAACACAAGTTATAAATTCGGGCACCGCCGGGAATCGAACCCGAGACCTCCAGGATTACAAGGCCAGCGTTATAACCGCTAGACCACCATGGCGGTCATCAAAAGACAAGGATTTCATATTCACATAACTTCTCATATTAATAAGATGTATTAATAAAAACTAGCCTCGGACAGAATGGACCTAACAATAGGACCAAATGGAAGAGGAGAATTGAGGAGGCCATGGACCGAATACGGACCAGAGAGCCATAGAAGAAGAAGATTAATAAAAACTAATGTCATTTATTTTCAGACCAAAGACTGAGCATTTCAGTTTTTGGTATTAACAAGTGATCAAGCCAATTTTTAAAGAAAAACTATTCTATCCTTGCAGCTTAATTCCACATATAGGTGTGTTATAAGAATTCAGGCAAATAGAATGGCGGTAACGGATACCTCATATTTATGTTTATTAATTAAAACACTCAAAATTAAACTGAGCTTTGTCACAAGTGAAATTAAACCTTCACCTTCAGTAACAAGTTCCATGAGTTTTCTTGGAAATTATAGAATCAGTTGGAGGAATTTCTTGCTCAAGCTGTACTTTATATGGATAGCACTGCACATTCTTTATAAAAATGTGTCTCGACTATTATCGACAGTGTGTTGTGGGTTATGCGCGGTACAGGCATCTGTACGTCACACCAACACGCTCCTAAACTGTTAACCCCACAATTAAAGTCTGATTGGTAGCCCTGCAGTACAGGGGTTTAAATCTGCCATTCCCAGAGTATTAAGGAATTTAGAATTCCATTCGTAAGCACTGAAAACGTGCCTCTTGATCTACTCGTGAGGAGAAGTTCAGTGCCCCATGAACCACTGCTTATAAAAATTATAACTCATGATCCTCAATCTGAAACAAAACACTGTTTTAAATTAAAATTTTAGAAAATATAGCAATATAAAATCCCTATGTCTTTTATTTTTTTATGGTTTTCTACACAGCCAGAAAGTTGACTGGGAAAAGGCCTTGAAACAACACATCAACTTCATTTATAACAGAATCTCACGCTTTCTCTATAAATACATCTCTGTTTTCCATAATTTGAGACACTCTGGATGAAAAAATATGCATGTTGACAGCTAACACAAGGGATTAATACTGCACAGATGGCGATGGGACAAACGAGACCTTAATGGGCATGAATCATAAGAAAATGTTAAACCACTCAAAGCATTATATTTTTCATTTCAAGAATATATGGCAACAGAATTTTGACATATACTGGGATAATATATTATATACAGTACACAAGGCTGGCCACTACACAACCACATTCTAAAACAGGTGTCTCTGATCTTCATGTGAATCTATTTTACATGACAGAAATACATAAACTGCCTGTATAGTTGTAAGATTTGAGGTTTTCACGGCACTGAGTCTGAAGATTGCTGTCTTCTGGGTTGTTGTGCTCTGTAGTCTGGTAGATGTCCACCAACGTTTCAGAGGTCATGCTGCCTCTGTCATCACAGAGCAACAACCCGGAAGACAACAATCTTCTACCTGTAAAGTTTATTGCACAGGCAGTATCACTTCCGTAAAAACTGATGCTCAAGATCAGCCTACACCTCAACAGTTTCACTTGCAATCCAAATTACATTTTTGAAAAAGTTTTGCTCTAACCCTCTAAAACCAAGTGACAACCACATTTATCACCTGATTTAACAATCAGTAACTCTGCATTTTGCCTTTTCAGTGAATTTATGGGTTTCACATATTTTTCAAAACTAATTATTCCCTTACACAGAATTAACTGATTGTCGAGCTTTGTAATAAAGATGTAGTTTCTTTGCAGTATGGATTGAATTTTTAAATATTGTTATAAAAGGAGAAAGCTGCTGAATTTGTTTTGTTTTCAGAATTCTAAATTATATGCATAATAATCAACCTGACACACCAGTATATTTATATTTCTATGATATCATTATACTTTGTAATCTTCACTTAAAAATGTTATGTCTGTTCCATTTCATGTTTCATATTTTGTTTTCAAGACTATATTATTATTACACATACCTGCTACATAACCTAAACAAGCGATATGAAATTATAAAATTTCAAAACAGACCCACAGACTCACAATAGTAATCAGATGGGTTCTTGTAGGCTGGGCAAGGATAATCCACCATGGCAAAATATGGCAGCATCTCACGTCTGCGACCACTGAACATCAGTCGACCCGCAGAGACTAGTGCCACATGCGACAACATCGTAAATATCTCATAAGTCGGAGGATGGATAGTCAAAATCACTATTCTCCCTCCAGTCACACCTGCAAAATAGTTTTAATTATAACATGTGTACAGTCACTGGATGATCACTTTCTACTTCACTTTGTAAAGACATTTCAGAAATGCTTGATGGGTTCTAAAATTTAAATACCAAGTGTGCAATGTCCTAAAATTAGTTTAAAGAAGTCTGAAGGATGAACAGTCGGTTCAGGAAATACAAAGTGGACACGAGAAAATGGCATATACATAAAACTTCCATATTACATTTGCAGTTAAAAATGCCTAGGATTAAAATATTTACTACTATAACAAAATTCAGAGATAAGAAAAGGAAAACATTTATTCATCCTGAAATGCTAAAATATGCCAACTGTTGTTATATTAAACTGCTATTCAAACTGTGATGCATTCATCACCCTAATGATGAAGGAAGCTAGCACCTCTGATATGTCGGTAAATTGACTGACTCTATGTCACGACAGCCCGAAGCAGAGCCTTGGCTTCCTCCCATGTGGGAGGTTTTTTTGTCTTTGAAGTGTGCATTTATGAGTAGTGAGTGACAAGACCACTGCATCTGTACAATTTCTACTTGATCCTGGTTTGACTGCTAGAGCCATCTAGTAGTGAATCAGGAGAGACTTGGGTGAGAATGAATTTTGCTTACAAAACTTCTTGTTCTTGCCCATAAGGTTCTTTTACATGCTGTAAATCTACAACATGGGACCGCTGGCTTTACTTCCCCTCCAAAGGAAGTTGTGCTACGGATATTTATCACCTTTAAAAATCCACTGACCTTGGCCGAGTTTGAACCCGTGAACCTTGGGTCCAGTGGCAAGCACGCTAACCACTAGTCCACCGAGGGCGATATGTCGGTAAAAATCTACCAGATTACATGGTGCAACAACTCAAAAGACAGCCATCTTCATACTTACTGCCATGAATACTTAAAATCTCTTTTTGCAACAAAACACTTGTATCTACCTATGGTCTACATAGTGTCACAACCCAGAACAACATTAATGTCATCCTCACTGCCTACAGTATCACAAATCTCAGATGAATTTTGGTGTAGTCTGGGTCACAGTTGACAGTATGAGGATGACCTGGGGCTTTGGAACACAGTAGGATAGACGGACAACAGACTTCAAAATGTTTACACAGAAAGGAGTAACAATGCAGTAACAATGATACTCAAACATTACACTAACAGTCACACAAAGTTCTAATAACTTCCATAATCCAACAATAATTAATGCAACTTAAAACTCATGCATTGTGTAGTGATCGCTATAAGCTTACCACTTGGTGTAATAGAAGGTGGACCACTGCTCCCAGCAGTAGCAGCCCACTGTCGCAGAAACTCAACTAGAAAGAATGTGTCAAAAATATCCATCCCTCTGGTAGGCTGATCCAAAACTACTATATCAGTATCAAGGAGCAGGTGACATGCTACATTCAAACGACGTTTCTCAGATGTCGTTAGTCCAGAGACTTTTGTGTGACGAACCTGATCTAGTCCTACATCTTCTATTAAAGAATCAATCTGTGAACAGAAAGTTCAATTTTAAAATATGATACCAAAATACTGGCATATTCCATATGACAAAAGATTTTACTGCTTTGTAACATATTTAAAAACAGCTCATACAAAAAAAGCAAAGTTCTACTGTAACCAGTAACTAGATATTATGGTTAAATGGTTAGCACTTGTGCTTCATATTGAGGAGATTTCACCACCCTACCATTCTAGACTATATAACCATTCCAAATTAATAACTTCCATAAAGAAAGTCCTTAATACTTACATATCAGCACAATTTAAATACAATTTGACAGATCCCCAGAGGGTTTTAAGAGTTGTAAAAAAATATAACAACATGTTTGTTAGATATAAATATGAATTCACTAACACCAACAAGTGTCACAAAAAATGAAGGTGGAGACTATATTTCGCTTGGACGTCCATATTCATGAACAGATGAGTAGGCACAGTAGGAGGCTGGTCTCAGATATGTGAGTTTGAGTCATGGTATGAGCATTCTTTTAATAAATACGTTACATTCACACATGCTGGGTGCGGCAGAGGAAATGCATGTTTTTCGAATGGCTAGTACTTGGCAAGGAGGAGGGTGGGGGATTTCCGCCCCTTGCTAGTAGACAGCTTAGATGATGCAGTTTCAGTAGCCATGGCACCATGGACCCGCGAGCATCGGGTGTTTGTCGTTGAAAATTATATCAAAAGTGGTGAATATGTAATTGCTGTTCATCTCCTGTTTCGGTGATATCCCTTGGCCACCTCGCTCCCCTGACCGGTCCGTATGTGACCATTTTTTGTGGGGCTACTTCAAATCAAAGGTCTACAGAAACAAACCATGCAACATTCAGGAACTGAAAGATTCCATTTGCCAGGAAATCGCTACTGTGGGGGAAGAAATGTTGGGAAGAGCAATGCAGAATTTCGAGGAGAGACTGCAAGAGTGCATATAGAAGGAAGGGCATCACTTAACAGACGTTATTTTTTGGAAGTAATTAAAAAATGTTCAACAAAAACTGCATTGTAAAACCTTTCTTTTTGTGTAATTAAATTTTTTTAACTTGAAAATCAACTGAGTTATTGTTATTTGAAAAACATGCGTTTCCTCTGCCGCACCGGTATATTATTCAACTATATGTTTAAAAATTTCAATGTAGAAGTCATATTAAAAAGAGCAATTATAAATGGATACTGAAATGTGTAAATTTTGATATATTGAAGATAATGTAAAATTACTGTTTGTCTGTAAAGCGTACATAGTCCAGTAACTTCAGTAAATGAACAAAAAGCAATCATCAATATTATCATCGCATTATTTGTGCTACACTGGTAGGGCTAACAGTGTGAGGGGAGCAGTAATTTCTTTTATTTTTCGATGAAGTGTTGGTCACTGGCATTCTGACTTAAAAGTTCTGTGTTTGAATCTAAATGCAGATAAATAATTTTATTTAGAAGAAAAAGAAATTTAGAAGCATTTATACAAATTACTTACACAAAATATAAATTATTAAGCTAACCCTTGAAAACTTTTTTCAAGACCTGGCATATTTAATCCGTGGCAGCCCTCTGAGAGCCAAAGCCGACTAGCTGGCTGCTGGCCTCATGTTCACATGCCTAAGCAGAGGTGAACGATCATACAACCAGATATAGGATGACGTGTGGTCAGCACGACAAACCCCCAGCCATTGCTAGTTTCCATGACTGGGGCATATTTAATAAGCTGTCCAAAAACCCTGACTCCATGCCAAGACAAGTGAGATGTGTGGTGGTAATAAATCACAGTTACACCAAGCTGCACACTATAACGAAGCAAAAATAACTGAGTCTCGTTGAATTACACAAAAAGCTTCATAATTTGTAACCTTCACCAAATACTATTAGGTGACCAAGTCAAGTCATGGGTTTCATAAAATATTGAGCAAATATCAGCTTCTAAAAAAGGACTAAAATCCATGAAGTCAGTCAAAGTTTAACTGTACTTATTCATTCAAACCATTCATATTAATGGCTGTAAAGCAGAATTGACTGAATTGGAAAATAATTGCAAATGAAAATAATTTTGAAGTTTGTTTCTTCTATAAATATGCTACAAACTCACCCTATCCTTAGTACTGAGCTTCCTGTGATGACCACTGGAATGACGGAGCCAGTGGTGAAGACTGAGAGTTTGTCTGACACTGAGGTCTGGAGACAAATGACTGTCACATTGCACATAAGCCACTCTGTCACTCAGTTGACTGGATGAAACAGACTGACCATTAAGCAGGACAGCTCCGCGCTGTTTGCGAATGTTAGATGAGCAACCAGCAAGTGCATCTAGAAGCCCTGTGCCTTCTTCTTCTGCAAATATTTTGAACATTTGTATTTGGTTTACTTCCTCAAATACATAAACTTAGAAACAATTTTAAGGCAAATCATTATTTTAATTTATACTTTTACACAATAATAAAACTTGTATTATCCTACATGAATATTTCCAAGAAACTCACATATGTACAAATAGTTTTTTAATGCTGTATATTTGAACATAAACCTTTAGGGAAGCAGTTTAAAATAAATTCATCATCTTCTCAACACTGGACTAAGCTCAGGATAGAAGTACTGAGACTTCTCTTCAGATAAACACTGTTGGGCAAAGAAAGCCAAGTAAACATTCATAAGGTGTTAAATAAGAATTGTAGCTCAGTCAGTATAGTGACTGGCTATGACCTGAACGACCAGGGTTCGATACCCGACAAGGGCAGAGGATTTTTCCTCTAGCCTCTGTGCCCAGCCTCCTATCCAATGGGTACTGGGGTCCTTTCCCAGGGGATAAAGCGTGGCCAGTGCATGATGCTGACCACTCACCCCATCTAGTGCCGAGGTCAAGAATGAGTAGGAGCTATACCTCCCCCCCCCCCAAGTGCCTACATGGTGTATATTGAGAGAGCTTTACTTTACTTTCTTACTTTACTAGAAAAAATAAATACATTTCTCACCATCTATACTGAGATGGCCCACAACAGCAGTGAAATGTAAAGTCAGTCGCTTATTAATTTCAATGTACATTATAATCCAAATATAAAATTCTTTACAATGTATGTTTATCCAAATACTATATTCTCTTTACATGACCAAACCACTGCAGACCTTTCTTTTCTAATTCAAAAAATTAATAATAATTAATAAATTTTGGATTCTAACATAATCTCTAAAGACTGTATTAAAGAATTTTAATGAAACTTTTGGATAAACAATGCATGAACAGGCTAACAAGCGGCCTAACTCTCTAACTGCTAGATGATTAGAATTTTAATACAATGAATGTTTGGATATTTTAATATATCAGTTGCTGCTGGCCTTTCCACTAAATTACTGCAACCTTTCAAATTTTCTCTATTTTGACCTTTAAAAATGCATCAATCACTATGCAGGATACTTATTCCTCATTCCTTTTCTTAAGATTTGCACCTAGGAGCAACACAATGAAACTGCTTTTTTTACATTCAGGATTGTCAACATTGTGGATGTAGAAGTATCAGAGGTTTTACAGTGCTTTAAGTCTACTATTTTTTTACAAACTTCCATAAAATGTTAATTAAATGTAATGGAGAGAGGAAGTATCAAATACGACATCCACAGAACCATATGGAAGAATATGACCTTATGAAATTAAAGTATTCTGGAAGGAGTGTGGTACATGGTGAAGATAATTATTTAAGAAAATCATATAGAGAATACTTATATTAAATAAAGAAAATTAATGTAAGATTTGAGGTTTTCACAGCGATGAGTCTGAAGATGGCTGTCTTCTGGGTTGTTATGCTACGCAGTCTGGTAGAAGTTTACCTCCATAATCACCACCCTAATGATTGAGGCAGTAAATACCTTTCAAACGTCGATAAGCATCTACTAGACCAGTGGTATTCAGCCTTTTTTGTTTGAGTACCCCCAGATATGTTGGTGTATAATTCAAGTTATACATAATATATAATCTACATCTAAAATAAATTAAATAAATTACATTACTGATTATTCAGTGTTTATCATAAAATGATACATATTTTTTTTAAATTTCACATACCCCCTAAGATGTCTTCGCGTACCCCCGGGGGTACACATACCCCAGGTTTTTTTTACCACTGTACTAGACTATGAGCAGCAACCCAGATGACAGCCACCTTCATACTTGCTGCTGTGAGAACCTAAAATCTCGCTCTTGAGTGGACAAGAACACGGTGCAAACTACATAAAATATAAGAACTGTCAAGACCAACCACATACCAAAAGTACTCAGTGATAAATGTAACATAATTGCAAACAGTATCCTGTGCTTTTAGTGCGATTATAATAATTAAGTTAAAATTAGGTACTAGTATAATATAAGTTCTGACTTGCACTTATTTGGCTCAGTACAATTTCAGAATCAGTACTTTTACTAACCTGCTGTTGCCATAACAGCCATAATATCACCACCATGCACTTCAAATGAAACTCCCTGCAGGAGAAGCAGGTGTCTTCTTGAATGAGACTCTACTTCAAGTCCACGAACCTGAAAACCAGATTCTGACTCTTCTAAACCATAACAAATGTTGAATCACAATTAAAATAACAAGTTCATTAGATAGTCTGTTCATTATTAAAACAGCCGTCTTCTGGATTGTAGCGCTGTGTAGTCTGTTAGAAGTTTATCAATGTTTCAGAGGTCCTTGCTGCTTCCAACATCAGGGCAATCGACATGATGATGGAAGCAGATGGAGACAGCAAGGACCTCAAACACTGGTAATCTTCTACCAAACTACAGAGTGCTACAACCTAGAAGACAGCTATCTTCATACTCACCGCCACAGGAACCTCAAATCCTTCTTATTTTGTACATTAGTCATTTAATTTCTATAAAAATGACACTAATCAAAAAACAACAAAAACAACATGTTAACACTAATGTGCAGACAGGTTAATGTCATTTAGAAGTAAATACTCTATTTCAGGGGTTCTTAACCTTTTCGCTGGCGTATCACTAATTCTAATTTAACACATTAATGGTACCACTAACCAAATGCGTTCAGGGAAAACATATGCATGTTAATATTAACAATCTCTGTTCTCATCCTCAGAGATTGTTCTCGAAACATTGGCAGAAGAAACGTTTTATTCACCTTTCAGCCACCTGACGCGGCTTGTAGCCCAAGTCTTTCATTAATATAATTTAACTATAGTAGCTTCAAGGCCAAGGAAGGAGTTCACCCCTCCCCTTGCCAGGCAGCTCTATGTCACCAATAGCGTGTTGTTAGACTTTCTATGCTCTATGTTCTGAGCTATCTTCGATTGCCTGGGCATCACTGTTATGTTACAACATCGTATGATGTTGCTGCAATTCTGAAGCATGCAATTTTGTAACAGCTGACATAAAGGCTGCCTGTGTGAATATTTTATACAATGGTAAATGGATTAATTCTTAACATTCTAGTTTTATTTGAAGCCTGCAGAATGTGACAATATAATGTATTTTTAATCCTCTGCATTCAATGCCAGATAATTACCATTTAATCTAGAGACACTTATAACAGTTTTAAATTAAATCTTGTATTTAAAAGGTTAATGTGTAACTCAATGCATGCTTGATACCTACCACCTTTGCTACCACTCAAAGAAAAGAACACAACAATTCATTGAACCTCTGTGCATAAGTCTTATTGGAATTGTAAAGGGCTGATAATTGTAAATTCAGTGTTGTATTTGTTCGGAAAACGTTCTGCATACCTGTAAATGTGGGTTTTTGAATGAAGTGTCAATATGTTCTCCATAATAAGTTTCTCTTGGCAACATGGACGCCTCTGCAACAGGACCTAGCCGACTATTAAGAGTCATGGCTGCTGCTGCTGCTGCTTCATCTCTGGGCGTGGCAGGTACTCCACCGTGGTGCACTGACGAACTTTGTCGGTTACGTGTCAGACTTGTATGTGAACCAGCCTTAGACATTCTACGATGTGAACCAACCACCCTGAAATTGCATATATTTGGATTATCTGTACAGCATGTATCATGTTTTGCAATAAAAACAATTTTATGAGTTGAAATCTTTGGACACATTTATATATGTTTTTATGTAGACCACTAGTCCTGACTAACCTCTTCTTAAAACACCATAAAACTAACCCCATTCCTAATCAGTCAAGAAATACCATCTGAAAAAATTTTGTGGTTACAGTCAGTGAACACACTTTAATATTTAATATTCAGCTTGACAAATTTTAACACCACATTTAATGTATAAGTAATTTGTTAAAAAGTAAACTATATCAAAAAAACAAACAGAATTATGAATATATTTTTGACCAAAGTTTTAACATACGATATGATAAGTTAACACAACTTACAATTTAATATACAGAAGTATTAATCTGATTAAATAATTTTTTTTCAGATCCTTCATTTTTCCTGAAAAATTCCTAATCTAGATAAAGAATTTTGCATTTTCAATACTCAGTTATTGCATCTTCATGTGTACGTTTTATACAGAGAAGGGTATGACCCAGGAGAAGGTAGTTCAACTAGTTTTCAGAAGATGAAGAGAGGGAAGAGCTAGCAAGAAATCATTCAATGAAGACAAGACTCTTCAACCACTGACCCATATTAAATGGAAACAATGGTAAAAGAAGAAGAAATATGGAAGGTTTAACTTTATGGATTTCTGAACAGATGGCACAGATCAATCCAGGGGAAGTGTGTGTGTGACAGAGGCCAGGCTGTTTTTCTTTTCTTGGTGTGACAATTGTCAATATGACGTGAATTTCAGATTTCACTGATCAGCAATGATGTAATACCTGAGTGAAGGAATAGAGGTCCAGGCTTTTCACTGTATCTATAGGAAAAAAGTAAAGCAGTCCTGCTACAAGCCATGTAGGCCGTTTGGGGAAAATGGAAGGTATAACTAACTAACTAGATGGCTTACCAAACCCGAAGGTTCATCACCGAATTAACCAAAGTCCTCCACCGGACCCTGTCCAGGGCCAACAAAATCCAGTCCCCTTCAACTCCTATCTCCCATAGATCCCGCCTGACATTATCCTCCCATCTACGTCTAGGTCTCCCCAGCAATCTCTTCCCCTCAGGCTTACCAACCAATACCTGGTGCACACCTCTTGTCCCATCTATGCACGCTACATGCCCCGCCCATCTCATTCTTCTTGACAGTCACCTTGACAATATTGGGGGAGGTATAGCTCCTAATAATTCTTGACCTCAGCACTAGATGGGGGTGAGTGGTCAGCATCACGCCTCGGCCGTGCTTTACCCCTGGGAAAGGACCCTGGTACCCTTTGGATAGGAGGCTGGGTGGGCCCCAGAGCCAGTCTGAATGCAGAGGCTAGAGGAAAAATCCTCTGCCCCAGTCGGGGATCAAACCCCAGTTGTCAAGCCCGTAGCTAGTCACTATACCGACTGAGCTATCCCGGCTCCTGTATCTATAGGTAAGCAAAACAGATTTGACCCATAAGAAGTTACTCAGCATTTTGGGTGCAACTGCACTGGCACCATACATATATGAAATGTTCTCACCCTTCCATTTCAGAATATGGGAGAGCTCGAAGGTCATGAACACTTCTGCGGTGTTGCTCCTGTTGGTGTCTGAAGTACGCAGCTTCCTGCGCAGACAGGAGGTTGGCTTCACTGTTGCTCTTGGTTCTTACCCAACCATCTCCTCGTGGTACACCAACTGCGACTGGAGGACCTGCTCTTGGCCCATGCTATAACAATAACAGCTATATAATATTTTCACTGTTAAGTCTCAGATGTGGAAAGAAACTCTGAAGAACGAACAATCCCTGGATTAAAATAATAATTACAAGCACATGCTGAAAAATAACCTTAAGATGAAAAACTATAAAAGACTTAGGCTTTGACTAATACTGTAAAGAATATTTTATGAAAAGCCTGTTAACATAATTATAAAATATGTAATTTTTTAATTTTCCAAATTAATCTTTGCCAGTTGTGCTCCTCAGCTTAAGTGCAGTCCAGCTGGCCACATGTTGCTTATTGTAATGTTGACTTAGTTGTAAGCTATGATATACCTCCAGCCCAAGAATAAAGTCTATGCAATCAGGGTGATGACTCATCGCCCTGATGATGCAAGCAGCAGGGACCTCTGAAACTTTGTTAAACTTCTGACAGACTACAAAACACTACAACCCAGAAGATAGCCATCTTCGGACTCTCCGCTGTGAAAACCTCAAATCATACTAAATGACTACTGATCATCAGACCTGCCGATGTATAAATATAAGAAAAAATAAACAAAAATTATCTGAAAGAAACTTTGCAGCTGACTAGAATCATGGAAATGCATATCAAAATAGTGATTGATTCATCTTATGTTTCTATACAGTTGATGAGTACAAGGAGTTGGAAACAGATTTTATTACAAATGCTTGTTTTAAGAAACTGAATGGAAGGCTATATCCCTGAGACCCTAATTAATTATGCTGTTGGATCCCAATTTGAGCTAAGTGTCATGGTAGCTACTTATAGTAGACAGAAAACAGAACTGCTGTCAGAGCAAAAACTCGCAGAAAGTGATTCAGAACAAAGTTTGTAGAATAGAGACTAACAGTAAAAATTCTGAGGAAGATTACGCCCTAACTGACACAGTAGTGAATGCTGATACAGAACTCAAGAGATGATTTGGTGACAGAGATTTTTAATGGGCCAAACAGAGTTTTTCACTGGTGCGTTTAGAACATGGTGTTCACCATAGGACACAACTAACATTTTACAAAATTGCAAAATATTTTTAAATAAAGTCTTTTGGGGTTACAGTAACAACTGAAAGCACCTGTTACACAGAACAGTTCATAGATTTATCAGGGGGAATGTGTTCAAATTAAGAACTTCATTGTGGTCACGAACACCAGTGATAGATAAAATTGATGTCGTTCTTAGGCTGTTCATGTGCTGAAGGTAATGTTGGAATCTGTTTTGAGTCCTTTGGGGGCTATCACATCAAGAAAATTACTAATATAAAATCTTATTAGATGGATATTACAGAACTCCACTACAAAATCTGAATATCATTTGATTTAAACTGTATAAGTCATTTCAGAGGGGTCCGCAGTGGCCGCGTGGTCTGAGGCGTGAGGCTTCTGCCGCTTGGTCGCTAGGACCGTGGGTTCGAATCCCACTCAAGCCATGGATGTTTGTCCTCGTTTTTCTGTGTTGTGCTGTCCTGTGTACAGGTAGAGGCCTTGCGACGGGCCTATCCCTCATCCAAGGAGTCCTACCAACTGTGTAATAGATCAAAGCCAATGAAAGTTGGGACCCGCAGATGCTCAGGCACTTGAAGAATGAGTTGTTCCCAGTATCCAGTATCCCAATAAGTCATTTCAGTGCACGCATGCATTGTTAATTAATTTCATGCCTCACCTCCTACATCTTCAAGTTATCTAACCTTTATTGGCCACATCACATGCCCAGATGGTAATCCTTCATAGCAGCACGAAGCTAAAACCATTTAAGCCTGGAGTACAAGTTTGTCATGAAATTTGTAATTCTCTACATTCACATAATAAAGATTGAATTGATTTAGATCCTCTAATACTGACAAGTTAAGTCAGCATTTATAAGCCTCAAATATGTATTTTTATTACTTTATTGACCCATGCAAAAGTTAAAGTGGAATGGTTGAAGAACCAAACAAGAAATGGCGCTCTCTCTCTCTCACGCACACACGCGCGCGAGCACCACACACACACACACACGATGGATGGAAAACAATAAAAATTATTAAATTACTTGGCTGAATATAAATCATAAGAAAGAGGAGAACTAGGTCTGAGATCAAATGGAGAAAATAACAGGTTCTTTAAAATAATATGAGAAGAAGAATGGGAGGAAAAAGAAGAAGTAAATGTTGTAATATCACAACTCATATGTCTACTTACACCTGAATAAGGTCGATGCAGGGGCTGGTTCCTAAAATCGGGATCGCTGCGTGACCGAAGATAATTACGACCTTGCCTGTGCAGGTATGGAGACCCATCATCACTAGAATCATAGCCACTGGACCCATCTCTGGGTCCTCTTGACGGAGGAAACACTCTCGGCAAGCCAAATTTGAGGTACGTATACATGTTTGCACCGAGTGCTGACCTATACAACAGAGGGTTTTTATAGTTACCTGAGTTCATAAATATATGGAAACTTTTATATGTATATATATTTAAAACCACTTGTCTCTAGATACATACTTTAAGCTAAAAAGTAAAAACAAAAAAAGTCATTTTTACAGAAAATATTTACAGCAAAAATCTCAGTATACTAGTTGAAGCAACTGATGTCTTATAATGTACTATATCTCAAAGTTATTTAATTTGGAATGTAATGTAATGAAAAAATATGCAAGTCTTTTCACTTGAATTCCTGTCATAAATGGCATTTACCATACAAAAATTAAAATGGAGAAACATTTGAGGTATTCAATAGTTCTTGGGATAATAAACTGCAATTATCATTACTACCACCGTAAAAAAAATAATAAAAAAACGATGATGATGATGTAAAATCATAATACCATATCAACATCACCAAGAACTGAATCTGCCTGAGAGATAGAAACACATTAAGCACAAAATAACTAAATCTACTGTGAAAGGAAGCAACACACTAACCACCATTTCTTTTCCTTGAAGAACATAAACACAAAAATTAACTTTAAATTCCTTTTAAACGGCACTGGCGATGAGACTTACTTTGGTCCATACCGAGGATGACTGAGTATAGACTGGACAGTGGACTCTCTGAGCTGAAAATTGCCATATGGAAGAGGAGACTTCTCACTTGAACCAAGTGCTGAGTCTGTGAAATCAGAGTTCAGATTTTGCCTGCAAAACGATAAATAAAAAAAAATTACACACGAGCGTCATGTTATGAATTGTAGTTTGAATGTTCTATCTTTACACAACACACAAGTATTCTTCCTTTGTGCCTTAATGTAATACCATATCAGGATAGTGACTGACTATGGGCTGGAAGACCGGAATTCGATTCCCGATAGGGACAGAGAATTTTTCCTCCAGCCTCTGTGTCCAGACTGGTTCTGGGGCCCACCCAGCCCCTTGTCGAGTGGGTATGGGGTCCTTTTCCGGGAGTACAGAGCAGCCGTGGCATAACGCTGGCCATTCACCCCCATCTAGTGCTGAGGTTGAGAATGAGTAGGAGCTATAGATCCACCCACACCCCCCAAGCGCATACATGGCGTATAGTGGGACAGCTTTACTTTATATGTTTCACACTGATAAGCCCATTTTCAGGTATTCTTTTCCATTTCATATGGTATTTGTCAAAATTGTTGGGTAGCTTTAAATCAGATTTAATGTTTGTTTTTCCTGAATGAAAATTTCAAAGTTAAAATGTAATGTTAATTTTTCTTACAATTTTTCTGAACAGTGTTCCCTACTGTGTGTGGGTCAATTAGTTACATATATTTTTAAGATGTAGGTCTTTACATTAAATTTGACATTTGATTAAAATATTTTGTGTTTACAATTAAAATATGCTGCAAATTAAAATTAGTATGCATCAGGACCGTTTTTAATTATACTACAAAGTTACATTTGATATGCTTCTGTTTAAAGCAACAACAAAACATCCAACATTGATGTGTTCATGGTCGTGGTTGTAGTAGTATTGTTGCATGGCACAAACGGGCCCACAGTTGGACCCCCAGATGATACATTAGTGGATGAGGATACATACTCCTAAGTGAATAAGGAGCGGTGGTGGAATGACAGCGACAAGAGAAAACAAAAGAACTCTGTGAACAACGTGCCCTAGTGCCAGTCTGTCCACCATAAATCCCACATGGACTATCCTGGGCATGAGGCCTCCATGATAAAACGCCAGCAATTAACAGCCTGAGCTATTGCATGACCCTAGAGAAAACTAAGATGTCTTGTAACCACAGGCTACAGGACAAAATAATAATATGAAAGATGAAAGTAGCTAAACATCATTTGAAAATGTGGCTAATTTCACTTGTTTCCTAAGGGTGTGAAAAATGGTCTCTCATGTTAAGGGAAGAAAACAGATTGAGTTTGTTTCTGAAGAGTGTTCAAAAACAATTTGGATCTAAGAAGGATGAGGTAACAGGAAGATAGGGAAAACTGCATAACGAAGAGCTCCATTGGATGGTACATGCTTCTGCTATCTATGAATAAAGACAGAATCAAAGGCTTCTTATTGCCTTAAAATTAAAGCAGGACACCTAATAAGTCACTGACCTATAGATAGACCATGCGTGGAGATCCTCGGATGCCGAAGGTCCACCGACAGGATTGATGGGTGGTTGTCCTCTGGGATGATGTGGATCATGAGGGCCCGTACCTGGGCCAGGGGCAGCGTTTGACGGCGGAGGAACAGAATACCGCCTCTCCATAGTAGTCAGCTCCCAGTCGGAATTACTTTTCTTACGGGCGGCATTGGACATCACACCTGAAACAGCAGAATAATAAGGACTCAAACCAGACTAACTACATAACCTTGTTTTGAACAACTGTGCTAGAATGTATCTTCGACAAATTTAAGATAACTACTTTAATTAAAAGTTTTCAGTAAATAAACAAGATCTGAAAGGTGCAGTCTATAGGAACTTCTGAATTGCTCTGTATTTACATACAGCATTCAGAACGACAAAATGTATATAACATTTCCTTATGCGCCTGTAAGAACAAGTGTTGGAAATGGGATGTGATTCAGAAGTCTCTATATAGCATACGTGACTAATGTCACGTGACCATGACCTTGACAGCTACCTTCTTTCGGCCAGAAGTATTGTAATAGTAAGTTCAACATGCGAAACATAAAAGTTCTGACAAGAGCAAAGGGATATTTGAATCATTCTGTATATAAATGTGCGTGTGTCCAGATATCTTTCGGATGGAGTTAATTTAAAGTCTTGCAGTGATTGCTCTAGCAGTAACCTTCCTACCAAATGTCACGGCGGAATGTTTGTCATTTCGACTTCGTATTCGGCAGGTCCGGTGTTCAAATCTCGATCCGAACACCACTTAACCTCTCTAAGGGTTGTCCCTTCAGGCAAACTCGGGATACCACCTTAAATTGGGCCACGACCACTTTTAATTATCCTATTATTCTACTCTATACAATACAGTTTAAGCCACTGGCACCATCGTTAAATAAACACACAACCACCCTAAATAAATAGCTCATTACTGTGTGCTGTAGGTTATTGTGCAAAAACGTGTGGCGACACAAACAAACCGGATCCAAGCGTCAATATGTTGTCCACTGTCTCCTATAGTGAAATGTACATTAGCCAATGAATTTGCGTTATTAGGGTCAGTTATTGTTCTTATTAATACATTTCTCGGAAAAATTTATAATATACAGATTCCGTCTGTCTTATATTTTTCTGATATAACCTCAAAGTACAGCATCACAGCAATCTTTGTACCTTTTTATACACATATTTCATATAAAATTTGTCAGAATGTTTATGACGTGCCATCATACAAAATTTCACATGCTTAGTTCTAATGTTCCAATAGTTATGACCGTCAAACTGAAAGTAAAAAGCTTCCGGTTTGAGAGTTCGCACGTCCGCCATACTGCTATTACTAATTGTGTTAAATTAAGAACAAGTCGAAGATGGCCTCCAACGTTGAAATGTTCATGGCCAGTTTCACGAACAACCGTCCAGCGGTTCTCGGTTTAAAATATACGGACGGACAGACAGACAGGGCCACTATTACATTCGTTAATTTTATTTTCATTGTAGAAAGAGCGCATTATATGTATCAATTAATTATTTCTGTGTATATTTTCCATTAGTACAGATTCATACTGTGAGACATTCGTGAGACATATCGCCTAAAGTATATATTATTGTCGTGTTTCTGTCAGCATACAGTCAAAAGAATATTTCATACCACACTGCACATTTAAATTATTTTATTATCTGGAAAGCTAGATAGATTTTACGTGGGCGCCATATTATTGTTTAAACTATACAAAAGCTGTGGACAATAGATTTTGACCTTACTGGATGAATGGTTACAAATGGAAGACTGATGAAAAACAATTTATCCTCATTCCTGGGCTTGGACGCCTTTCGACTCATGTATGATGCGTTTCTTTATGTCATGAAAAAGGGAAAGCAAGATGGTGTCATTCTTTTTCTTCACACGGCAACAAGAGAGAAGCTGAATTACGCAAGTAACTCAACCAACCGTTTGTCCTAGACTCACATCTCTTAATGCAACAACAACAACAAAGACGCTATTTTTCAGTTTTAAGCAATATATCTCCAATAACAAAACAATAATGATTGACAATTCTATTGTCGTTTGAACCCGATCAATTCGCTGGAAAAGCTGGTAACAAAAGAAGTTTAACAATAGATTTACTACACGTTCGTCACGGTTACCTATTCAAATTTCGTATTGAAGTCAAAAATAAACGAAAGCAGGAAAACGCAAATTCGTTTCACACAGTGGATCGGAGTGTCGTATCATTTGAATATCCTGAGTGAAATTCGCGGGGCAACCAACTTAAGGAATGCGTGCCACTTTCTTTTATATAACCTACTGGACTGTAACTAATATCAACGTCATGGTATAGTAAAAATTACCTCTACACACACACCACTAAATGAAAAAGATCCATTCTAATGTATAACAGACATAACCTGCGTGTGTTTTAAGACGCATGCGACCAGAGACAAGTGTACTGAAGTGTCAGGTTCAAGTTTGATGTTAACTTGTTTTACCAAGCGGTGACAACGGCCATGTAGTTTTATGAGAGTTTATATCCAGAACGAAGTGTAAATTCCTATGAGAAGTTGGTAAGACCTGAAAATAAAAACAGCATGTTCTGCTGAAACGTTGGTAACCATATACGAGACTACATAGGGCCATAACCCACAAGGCGATCAGCTGTGTTTTCACAGCCGTGGAAATCTCTTAAAAGTGGTTCTCTGTGACATTGCACAGTATCGTGATATAAAGTGAATGGTTAACGCCTACGACGATACGAGGATAAACAAATCCACGAAAATCTTTATTTTAGTTCAGAGCACTCGTGACTTAAACTGGCGAGGGAGACAAAGCCACGAATAGTTTTCTTTACGAGACACCGTGACGGCTGCTTTAAATTCTTAAGTGTAACAAGGGATAAGGACACATGCAACAAGTCACGAATTCAAAGCTGTGTCCAGAAACGATGTCTGTTTTACAGCAGCGCACATGGACAACATTTTCCTGCTGTAGTGTCAGTGAATCAGTCTAAAGATATAAGGAGTTAAAGGCATCTGAGAAGGATGCAATGACCTCTAATTATACAAACTTCATCGTGGAGGGTCTTGCTTGAAAAGCTGCCACTCAGCCACTCAAGAACTTCCATTGGCCACTCGTGGAACCCGAAGGTTCATAACCACGTACTCAAACGCTCGCCATCTGGCAGTATCTGTCCTGAGCCAGTTAAATCTAATATTCCCTTCACAGGTTATTTATCAGGAATACATTTTGGTATAATTCATTTACGCACTTGAAAGAAAAAAACCTGCTAAACTTTCAAATTAATTTACCTATGAGATGTAGAGAAAAATAGGTACTAAGTCCTAGGAGACAAAAATATAAATTCTGATAGTTTCGAACCTTAAAACGGGCTAATAAGCACACAAGCTTCAGACAGACAAGAATTTGTACCTTAAAATTTGTTGTTGTCCATCCCCCAGTGAATACGGAGAAGTGGTGGAATGAGAGTAACAGAAGAAATCGGGAGAGTAACCTGCCCAAATGCCGTTTTGTTCCCCATAAATCCGACATGGAGTAACCTGGAAGCGAACGAGGGCTTCCGTGGTGAGAAGCCGAAGACTAAACGCCTAAGCTACAGCACGACCAATTTATGAAACTGACTTCCCTGTTCACTGAAGCAGAAATGTTTTTTTTGCAACTGTTACGAGGGAGCACCAGCTGAGGTGGTAATAGTCAGCAGCTACAGTGCTATGGGAATGACAAATGCCAACTGTTACTCATGACCGCACCAAACTGCAGGTCTGTGAGGAGAAGAATGGACTTTGATGCTAGAACTTTTTTCAGCCAGCCACAATTCTTCTGGCCTTGACTGCAGAGGGTCACTCAACTTCCTGCACCATCTCATTCCCAAGCGTTTCTTAGCTCTGCTGCTGTTCGTCTGGTGGTCACGTAGCACCTCACTGCGGCCGTGCAGTGAACCACGAGTGACAGACATTAAGACAGAATCACGATTTCTTCAGACCAACTGCCCTCACCGAACACGTGTTTATGGCCAGGAATTCACATCAGGTTATTTTCGATTCAGTGGTTAGCATTCGGTAGGTCCCGGGTTCAGACTGAGGCCAGAAGGGTGTAAAATAAATTCTCAACTGATTTCAACCACGTTCGTCCGCAACAGGGCTCAAACCAATGAATCGATTTCCATCGAGTTTGATGGTCTTCATGACAGGCCTCGAAACTTGATTCACTTTCAGTTTTGGCCTACGAACTATATATGCTATATACAAGTGCCACCCATCTGAACGGATTACTCTAAAAGGGAGGTTCTAGGTCCTCACGGCGGCGAGTATGAAAATTATTGTATTACAGGATGTTGCGCAGTGCAGTCTCGAGGAAAGTGACCGACGTTTCAGTGGAGGTCACTGCCTCCTCAGGGTGACGAGAAAGCATGTAGCGGGCATACTAAGATTACAAATGTGTACAAAATTTTGGTTGGAAATACAGAAAAAAACACTCGAGAAACTCGGCCATAAATGGAAATATAATATTAAAATTAATGCCCGGGAAATAGGATTTGGGATGCAGATCAGATTCATCAGGCTCAAGACAGAGATCAGTGGCGGGCTGTTGTAAACACGGTAATGAACGTGTTAGCTTCTCAAGAAGGACTTTGTTACAATGGCGTTAATTCTGATGAAAGTGTGGTGTATCAAGCAACTTGCGTTTTGAAGCAAATCAAGGCGATTGGCAGCGTCAAAGAAGCTAGTAGGCCCGGCAATACGGTATTTCCTCAGCTCTTCATAACAACTCATACACAAAACGTAATTAAATAATACGCTAAACCGTCCAAAAAGCTGATCAAGACCGGACATTATTTTATTAAATTTACGTCCCTCACGTTTCATGCTCTCCCACTAACTAACCTCAAGCTCTCAGCAGACAAAGTACGGCGTAGGGTGCTGCAGTCTCTCGGGCCGCTAATAAACTACAGCTAGACCCACTGCTCGTTTCACACAGAAATTCCATTTTCACTACGCGATTTCTGACACAACGCTTAAACAAGGTACGGTCGTGCATCCCATGAACGGAAACGCATGGCATCCTGCTAAAGAGATACTATCTTAATTACATTAATGACGAAATATATTCCACTAATTTCTCTTCGTCCTAAACACGAGTAAAAGGCCAAAGAACTAACTAACTAACTAGATGGCTTAC